TATTGTTTATTATTTTAATATTTTTTTATAGCTTTTCCATGATAATTAAACTATTATAAATGCATCATAAATACTAAAAATTACCAACAGAAATTGATCAGATATAAAGAAGTGCAAAACGCAGCAAAGGAAAAAATTGGAAATGAACTCATTCTGAAAAGTGACGAAGTTGTTGAGATCAAGAAAAAAGTTAAAAGTGGCAAAAGAGAAACAATAGATTACTTGTTTAGTTCCAAAGGTTTAAGACCATCGACCATCGAAGAAATCAGGACCAGCAGCTTGACCAAACAAATTGTCGCTATTGTTTCTTCTTTCCACAAAGCGGCGATTTCAAAAAACATCATTTCTGCATTTTATATCTGTGGGTTTGTTAAAACACAAATTGCGTCAGACAAGGAAACAACAAAGGATGAACATGAGTACAGAATGTATTATAAAAAGGAACATGCGCGCCATATTAGAGAATTCATGAATGAACCATATTCAGTGGTAACAGAACATTTTACAGGTCGTCTTTCGGTTCAAATCCAAGATGTGGAGAACCGTTATGAAAAGAGAATCAGTGGGAACAACTTAAATTAATTGTGTGGTTATTTTAGATGGTTTTATTGATCATTTTAAACTATAAATAATAAGTTAATAACTAATACTTATTAATATTGTATTTTTGTTTGATGTAAGAAATACACATTTAACCATCGAAGTGTTCTTAACATTCTATTACTTCGGTGAGTATTCAAGAAAATTCATCAGAAAAATCATTTTTCAAATTGAATCTTTTGTGTAAATAATTTGTTTTAAAAGCCGTACGACAATTTTATGGTGGTCGACCATTTTGTGATGCACTTTATGTTTTTTTAGAAACAAAACAAGAAAACACAAACAAATTTCTTTAAAACTATTACTATAATTAAAATATTATAACTAAACTATAACTAAAGTTGCACTATTTTTCTTATTAAGTTTTTTGGGTTGCACCATTCAACAGTCTTTTGTTCATCGAAAAGTTTGCAGCGAGAAGGTCTTTGAATCACATGAAGTAACTTGTCTTATTTTCTTTTTTATAAACGAGATGTTTAACATTTGTGCCATCCACAATCGATATACAACAATGTTTTATTCGTTCTGTACGACAATTAAAATTTTTTGTTTTCAATGCTTTTTATTTAAACAAGCAGTTAAACTTATCATTTAATTATCGAATTATATTTTATGTTGATTTATAACCCAATTCTACTTTTTGTTATTGTTTTTGTTATTGTTGAAAAAAAGAGTTTCACCTTTGTTGTGAGTAAAAAACAAAGAAAAAATAAAGTTGCACACTTGTTCGGAATGACTTTACTTTTAAAATTATTGTTCGAAATTTATATAATACACCTCGATAAAACAAAGTTTTGTAGTTACAGAAAAGTTCTTGAAGTGGAATGCAAAAACGGATATGTCGTTGTGGAATTCTCCACAACGACATACAGCTGGTAAATTGGGATATATGTAAGGTTTGTTGAACCACAGCGTGATTCTGTTGGTGTTGCTTTGTATTTTTATTACTACTACACACAAACAACTGAACTAATTAAAGACAAAACAGTCAAACAACGAATTAGATAATTGGTGATTTTCTTGTTGTATCGAGGTTGGAAGAATATTATAAAGCCAGACTATTCGATTTGGGAGGAAAGCATCGACGCATGGACTTTTTTAAGTGTCCCACTGCACTACTATGGATTCACACAAATTCAAGGCCACCACAGATTGTTAGCGGCTGCTATGATGGAAGAGAAGTATTATAAAGATACTAAAAGAGCCGAATTACGAGAAAGAGAGCACAGAACCTATCAACTTCATTTAAAAAATGTTTTAGAATGAAGAGAAAGGACACTTCGTCCAAGCCATTTGACAGGACAACAAAAAGTGATCGTCGACACATTGACTGCAACTATCGCGTTCAGTGACATTGTAAACGATCAAATAAAGATAAAAACACTTTGATAACATCAGAAAGTTCAACACCAAACTTGAACACGGGTTTGCTAAACATCCACAAGACTCATACTTCTATTCCTCAAAGTGGAATATTGGAGGAAAAAAAGTTGATGAAGCAAGCCCACCATGGGGAGAAGCTAGACTAAATCACTGGCGACCCGATTATGCCGTCAATGCCTGATGAATACGAACACGCTGGTGTGTGCAGTCATGACAGCGCTTCAGAATCAACAACTCTTCCCATTCTTTAATTATAAGAAGTGGTAATTTAGTAGTTTCGTAATTATTGTTACACTATTACATATATGTCGATATAAAATAACATAATATTAAAGTATTAAATAATATAAAATGGGAGGATTAGACTGATACTCAATGATGATCAATGAAAAAGACTTTGCAAGTGTCAAAGATTTCAAAGTTGTTATGATGGTCATTAGAAAATTCAATTAATTGAGTAAAATGTACCATTTAATCTGATATTTTTGACATCACTATAGGAAAACAAATTGTTCCTAAACATTGAGACTTACCATCTCTACTCAAAGAGTGATTTTGACTTGGAATTTCCAAAATAGGTTATTCATTATTTAATGATTCACAAAGACGCATTGGTCTTATACAGAACATAGAGTGCACAAATGTTGTGTTTAGTCGAAAATATGTCAACTCTTTGGTGGTGAAATACCAACAAAAGAGGTGCAGTCGTTGTCATCTCATGTTTCAATTCAACCGAACAACTACAGTCAGTCTTAAAAAGTTATATGGTACCTTTTGGACAATAACAATTGGACTACAGTAAAAAGCATTTATTTGTGGGTTTTATATTTGTGGGTCAATGGACCAATCAAATGCAAAACCCACAAATAATTATTTTTCTCTGGAACTTTGAATTTAGGTACACTCAAATAAAAATTATAGTATTTTTATAATTAAAAAAAACCACAATATTTTATATAACACTGAGTTTTAATGGAAAAATTGGTGAATAGAACTTACTTCACAATTCCATGATATACCCACAAATAAATATTTTTTCTCTGTTTGA